CTATGCAGTTTTTTACTTTAAGTGTGCTGCTGCTGCTGCTGCTTGTGGTGGTGGTGATGACTATAGTGATGATGATGATGATGATGTTGTTATCCATCATGATTATGATGATGGTGGTGGTGGTGATGATGATATGACGACGACGATGATGATGATTATGATGTGAAAATGTGTTGAACTAATTGTTCAGAGGGACATATATTAACAACCAACTAATTAAATAATGCCGGTATATTTAAAATGAATTGAAAAATATTTTTCCTTATTTAAATGTCATTTAATTTTCCCTTTGCCTACCGAGATTTAAAATTTTCTTTCTTTTCTAATTTTAGAAATTCGAAGATAAATCATGTGAAATGGCAAACATTGATAAATTGCTGGTGGCCAGAAAGCAAGAAGTGAACGATGTTGAAGTGAAGTTGAAAGAATTTCAAGTGATTCATTAGAACATTTCAGTTCATCGTTAGAATATCTATTCTAACAAATTCATTTTATTCCATCTAATTTCTTTTTCGTTCCGACATTTTTGAATTTGTTTACGAAATTTTTAGCGCTTAAGGGAAATAACTTTTTTTGCGCACTGCTTGTTGAACTGTCAAAAGCAGAAATTTCATCGCTATTTCATTCACGCACCACCCACAACTAAATCCCGCGCTTCTGACAAACAAAATTTTTAAATTTATACACACAGACATACACACGCACACACGTACATACACACACACACATCATTTTTAACCAAAAACTCCACTCCAATGTACAACCCAACATCATAATTTAATACAATCTTTGCTACTGGGATAGAAATCATTACAGAGCACGGCGTTACACAGCATTTCATTGCCATTCACCTCATTAAAAATTTGTTACACTTCTACGGTGAGCAGGATGAAGCAAATACGTATGCCTTCAACAGTGAGACCTTCAGACAAATGAAGAATAAGATCGAAACTTTGGGTAATTTTTTCAAATCTCATGTTGCCTCGGTTTTTTTGTTCTTTTAGAACGTCTCATTCATTCATTCATTCGTTCGTTCGTTCGTTTGTTCATTCATTCGTTCGTTCGTTCGTTTGTTCGTTCACTCATTCATCCATCCATCTGTTAGACGACACAGCGTGCATGCCTTTTATAAAATTGTTTTTAGATGGAATTATGCTCTACATCACATTTAATGAACAACAAACGATATATATATATATATATATATATATATATATATATTATATAGATATATATATATATATTATATACGTGTGTGTGCGTGTTGGTGTGTGCCTGTGCGTGTGTATCTGTGTGCGTGTGTGTGCGTGCGTATTTGTCTCAATTTATTATCTCATATTCGTACATATGTTTATTATACCTAACAAATATTTACATGAGATATTGCCCGACTTACAACATTATTAACGACGATAGGGTATGTTAAGATGCAATGTATTAATGTTATACACTACACAACTCTGTTCATTCAATGCTCGAATTATCATCGGTGCGAATAATTTCATCGCGTCAGCCAGGCGAATGTTTTTAATTGGAACATCTCAAATTTTATGATTGGTTGTTAAAGTTGTGGTGAATTTCAAGGATGAAAGTCTGCTGGTGCGAATGTTCGAATGGTTGGAAGGAGTTTGAAGGAATGTCATGCATAATGGCGGCACCGTGTTAATGCTATAAATTCAGATACTGGATCGCTGGAGCATGAAAGTGCGATGAAGAGAATGATGATGCAAATGGCGGAGGAGAAAAAGAATCGTGAAGATGAACACAAATCACTTATTGCTGTGAGTTCTTGGTGTGATTGTTGATATTGCTAGTGTAGCTTTTGTGGTTGTTGTTGCTGCTGCTGCTGCTCCTTGTGCTTATCATTTTTGCAGTGGTTGTTGTTGTTGCTGCTGCTGTTATTGCTGCTTTTTAGCAATTTGTTGTTAAGATATTTTATTGTTAGCTTTGTTTTTGCGTTTGTTGTTGATTTGTTTTCATGATTTTTACTACACTGGATGAAATGAAAGCCCACAAAACATTTAGTAAATAACAACATTTGTTGAATACAACACTTTGCCAAACATTTAGTGAATAATATTTGTTGAATACTACACATTGCAAATGTCATCGCTTTAATGACATCTGATGAAGGACTCTCTGTGAATATGTCGTTTAATTACGTCCACGTCATCTTCAAATTATTAGGAGCAGTTAAATGGAACGGTGGCTAAATAATCACTCCACTGCATTACTTTCATTCATTCATTCATTCATTCATTCATTCATACGTGACTGTTTGCAATTTCAAGGTAATAAGCAGACGATGACGTATTTTGAAACCATTCTTTTGACGTGAAAATAAACACATAATAAAACTAATTTTTGCACGAAGATTAAAGAGAGCCAGCATGGTAAATAAAACGAAAGCATAAATACGTTTTAATCCAAGCACGCTCATAAAGTTGGAGCATGCCAGCAGCGGAGAATGTGCACGCGAAGAAGAGCAGCACATCAAATTATCTTCGCATGAATAAGCATCTCCATGACGTCTTCTGTCAAAACTTTTTCATTTTCTTTTAATTATTATATTTTTTAACGAGTTTTTTACCATATTCTGATTTAAAATTTTAACACAATATTTTGCGTCAACTCTATAAGGCTCATCTTTGTTATCAGTTATAACGACATTGCAGTAGTTGTTATATTTTTGTTATGTTGTCTTCATTAGCTCTGTTTCTCTAATTTCTAATCCAGTTTTGTCGATGACGCTGGGAATATTAGCGGGGTTATTTTGACGTCACCGTATATATTTAATTTTAAATGAAATGTTTCATAGCATTATAACGCGATATATTGTTTGAAGGTTCCGTTTGCACGTTCCTTCTACTCCAACGTTCGCATGCATTCTCCATGTGACGTCGTTGTCTGACGTGGCAGGAAGAAGCTGTAATCATACCCCACTTAAATTACATGAACGTTAGTTTACTCGGTCGATATGTTTGCTGTTCTTTATGCTGAGAGCTCTAATCCGAAATCCTATAATTTACTGAACCAATTTTGTGTGGAGTCTGGTGTGGTCATCAGTGGCGCGTTTGCTAGCGACACAACACTACACAAACTAAGCTGACTGCTGTTATTGGTTTCGACAATTTTTTTTTTCAAAAATTTCATTAACGTTTTCATGTTGCGGTTTATTTTCTGTTGCAATGAAAAGATGAGATTGTTTTCTTTATGTGCTCTATGAAATTATTTGTTTACAATAGAATTGGTAGCTTAACGATCACCATCAGCAAGAATCGTACTTTATATCTTGAAATAAATAAAATGGGAATGAAATTCATCTTGATGCTGAGATTTGATGAGATGCATTGGCAGCGAATCGTAATTTACAGCATTCTCAACTGTGGATGGATGACCAATATTTTAATGATTACAATTCAAGTTGATGATTCCAAACACTCAACATCTCGAGGATTGTAAACTTATGTTACGTTGTTTGTATGTAAGGAAGAAGATGAAACAAATTATACATTTGTCGGTTTAGTTTGGTTTCTGTTTATCTTTTGTCTTAATTATTTTGTTTTAATTGTCTCACTAAAATGTTAGAAACTCGTCGTTAAAATGAACCAGCCGCATACAAATACGATACGATACGATACGAAAGATTTTATTAGCTTGTTAATGACAAACCCAGTTATAAATAAATATTACTTTTTAACAACTTATTTTCTTATGAAAGAGTTTTATCATTTTTTAATAACAATAATATTAGTAATTATTATAAACTTTTACGAGTAAAATGTTTTTTCCTCTCACGGCAAACATGCAAAAATGAGCCTGTTAATTTTGAATCCAGCGATTAATCTTATCAACAGTTTTGTTTAATCACTTGTTTCAAACTATTGAATATTCAAGTACCAATAACCATGCAAAATTTTCATCTAAGTGCCCGCTGAAAATCTCCGCACGTCTATTAAAACATTCTAAATTTCGAAGAAACTCGTCGAGAAAAGAACCTGGCTGGTATTTAAGAGCTGAATGTTTCACGTAAGCATCGTGCTCTTGTAAGAATCCCATTCAATTAACTTGAAAGCTTTCTTGATCTTCGTGAGCAACATTTGGAAACCTTTCATCGTTACTTTATGAGAGTACTACTTAACTATATTGATTGCTAAAATTTCATTTCGTTTCGTGTTTCTCCATTTATATTGTCATTTTGAATAAGCTTATTTTTTTCCGTTAACTTTTTTTTGAAGTGTTGAATGAATTATTGTTCACACCTTTTGTTTTTGAATCCTTTTACTAAGTTTATCTCAATCTACAAAATATAACTTCAGACTTTCAATAATCTTTTTGAATTCATTGAAACATGACATGAAAACAGACTAACTGAATGTTAGCATTTCAAAATATTCCATAAGCAGAAATATCATATTCCAGAGTTTGCTAGACTGAGGTCAAATTAAAAAAATCATTTTTTGTTTTTTTTCAATGTTATGATGGAAACCGATATTTCGGTGTGTTTGCAAGAACAGTGCTATGCATTAGCTAATTTATTTTTTTCTGTTTAAATTCATTCAAGAGCGTCATTGCCGAATTGAGAATCACTCATTGCTAATTCTGATTGATTGCTGATTACTGAGCACAACTCAAATGTTGAGATATGTTTGAAGATGACTATCAAACAACACACATAGCGGCACACACACAGACAGATACACGCACGCACACATGCACACATATATATTCGGCCACTTTAAAGCAATATAATTCTCAATGCGGCCTTCAATAGAAAAAGTTTGCCCACTCCTGTCATATTCTGAATCGTACCAAAATAATGCCAGCATAATGTTTATCGATTTCCAATATGACGTGACGCAATTTTAAAGTTGCAATATTACTGTTCAGCTCAGTTGTTACTCAGCTGTACGCCAGTGAATTTTTATTATTTTATATTATTCAAATTATTATTATATTATTCAATCTATTTAATTATTTTTACGTCGGTGGTGTATTTAATGTACGAACTGCTTTATTCTCGGCAGATAATTGAGAATCAGAACGTGGAGCAGAAACATCTGACGGATGAGTTGATGAATTACAGACTCCTCCTCAATGAAAGGACAAAAGTAATTTTTTTGTCATGTCCACATACTGTACATCAAACGATACACCACAGCGCCGAAATATTTATCTTTTATTTCCAACATAAATGATTTATTGCCGCTGCTTTTTTCAACGTCTGACTGTTGCAAATGAAATGTCAGACTGACTAATTATGTCAAATTATATTACATCATGTTAATTATAGATTATATATACATATATGTATGTAAGAAACTTTGTAACGCGAACACATTAGCCCGGTAAACGAGTCAACCACATAATTGCTGGTGAAAAATTATGAATTATTGGAGAAGAGATGAAACTGCAAATGAAGTTTCGCAATGTTTGCTATTTGTTGGCCTGTTGATAATGATCATCGCTGACGTTTTGTTAATAGAACGCTATCATTTCTCTGTCGTTGCTTCTTATCTTTGTTGTTGTTGTTATTGTTGTTGTGTTGTTGTTGGGTTTTTGTTGTTGTGTTGTTGTTGTGATGTTGTTGTGTTGTTGCCGCTGCTGATGGTGAAGAATGGAATGTCTCAGGTGTAACCATTTTTATATTTGCGTGAATCAATGCATTAGTTTTTTAAACATTTTTCAAAATGGCAATTTTGAAAAATGTTTTCATATATTTTAATCTTAGTAAGAGTATCAAAAAATCTTTCCTGTATATTAAAGAAAAACAGTTGCTTTATCAATCTATTCGTGTGCTTTCATTACGTCGTGTTATTCCAATGAATTCAAATCACTAAAAAGGTTGCGACTAAATTGAAAATGAAACAAAAAAGAAACGAAGTGCACGTGGAAAAACTAATTTCGCGTCACAGGGAGCACTGTTTGAAGTTGACTGAACAACTCTGCCATGCTAGATCTCAGAACATTGAGCTGCAGCAACAAGTTATTTTTTATTTCTCATCATAAGTTTTTTTAGAATTGCGTTTAAATTGACATTTTTTTATTTTTATGAAAAATTTGGTTCGATAATTATTTTAGCTGGATTGCTTTGAAAAGTTAAAAAGCCAAGAAACAGCGGTCACATTTGCATTGGCGGAGTTGAAAGAAGATTTGAAATGCGTCAGTCTTCCCCTTCACTTCTCTTTCCTACATTTTGTGTTTTCAATTTTATTTTTTAACTGTCATAATATTTTCTTTCCAACGATTATAAAATTAAACATAAATTTGATTGTTTTGAATAAAACATGCACTGAAGGAATTGAAAGAAAACGTTGACGGATTAAACAGGGCTCATATTAGAGGCAATTACGTTGAAAATAAGAAAATGCAAGAAAAGCAGCAGGAAATAAAGGATGGCATTCTGACCATACAACAATCTGTGGAATGGGTGGGTATGCCTGCTTCTCTACTATGCACTCACTTATTTCATCAGCGTTCACTCACTCAAAGATACGTACCCATTATCATCACACTCATTTAAAAATGCATAATTTATTTGTTTTGACGCTTCTGAGCGCCTGTCCATGTATATGCGATTGTGAGGTTTTCAGTTTATAATGTTTGGTTGTGTCATGTTTAGGATCCGAATGTTTATATTTATTTGACTATTTTAGCTTGTTTGACAAGGTTTAACAAAAGCTTGTCAAATTTTTTTAATATTAAAAAAAGTTAATTAAAAAATGCCGGAAGGACAATAAAATTGGAAACAAATGATCAGATAGGGAATGGAAATGTGCGTTCGAATGTGATGCGATCCTCTGATGTTGTTACCTCGAACAACGGCTTCACAAGCAGTCAAAAAGACGGCCAAATCTCTGCTGCATGCGATCACCAAGAAATGCTTAAGGTTCATTACGCTTTTTGTTAAGCTTAACGAAGCAATTTGTCTGCATTTGTCTGCGAATATTAAATTAAATGTCGAGTCTGACTTGTCTTTTGAAGCATTTTTCTGTTTGTGTGACTTTTTGACATTTAATTACTGAAATGGATTATTTAATTACTGAAATGGATCTGAATGTTTTGTTTGTTTTGTTTCTTTCTAATCTAAGAAAAAGTTGGAATGGAGGTTGAATGAGCATTTGAAGGGCATGCAGAGCCAACATGCCAGGTCCCAACAATCCATCGACGATTTCACGCGGAAGTTGTGTGCCCTCGAGAAGGTAACATCATGTTAAATAATGATTACATCTCATATAATGATTACATCTTATGTAATGATTGTATTGAATATAATGATGTACATCTATAATAATGATTGCATTTTATGTACTGATTGCATGTAATAAAATGATCGCATGAGGTATAACAAATGCGATGTGATGAAATGAAACTGATTGCATTTGGCGATTTTGAGATGTGTCAGTGACGTTCATTTAAAGTAAAATTAAATTTCATTAAAAATTCACGGTAGGTAAATCAAACAAAATTTTTGATTGACACCTGCGAGCAAAGATTTTATCATTTAGATTAATGGTTGAAACTTCATTTACTTATATAATAATATATCTTTAACGAAACAATTGTTTGGGAAGAAGTCAACAGAGTTATGCACTACTTAGAATGATGTCCAACTGGTGCTTTAATGGGCATGCACCAGGAAATGATTTTTATGATACAAACATTTTAACTTCCAAATTGTTTCATGCGACGCTCTCCTTTCAATAGTTGCTATTGCTGGTTAGATGAGCAGGAACCATCGTTGCTCGAGATGATTATTATTTTAATTAAAAGCCCGAGAACATTCCATAGGCATTTGTAACGCATTGAAAGAACATAAACTTCAACATGCTTTAAAACGCGTTTGGAGATGTTAAACACAAGAGGAAATGTTGGAAGACACCACCAGCTAAATGTCCTGCCACTGCTCTAGAATGCACCTATTTGTAATCTCTATCTCTCTCCCTTTTTTCTCTCATTTTCTTTTTTTAATTTTGTCTTTTTTTTCTTTCTTTGTTTTCGTCTCCACTGTTTTGCAATCGGTATATAATTTTTTCATGTTTATCTGCGGCTCTCATGCATGTTATGTTATGCTTCAACATCCTCTCCCATGGTGCATCGTCAGACTTTCAAAATTTGCCTGCCTTCTTTCATACCGTTTGTCAACAATAACATTTTTATTTGATCATCTTGCTATAAAATTTATTTCGAATTTCAAGATTTAATAGTTTTAAAAAAAGTTTATACTGTGTTTCTATTTGTTTGCTTATTTGTTAAAATCTACCAAATGTTGAAATATTTTTATCTGAAACGAAAAAAAGCATTTGTGGCAGATATTTATGACCGTGGTTGTGTCTGCACTATCTAGCGACAGAATAGACAACACAACAAAATGTTCAAAATAAAATTTGCAAAACTGACTTAACAAGTCAACCAAAGTGACCCGCACACACCCACACACACCCACACACGCACACAACGTACACACACACAAATAAACTTACAAATGCTACATCTATCACGAAATAATTCAAGATCAATCAACATCGATACCCACCAAACGCCTCAGTAATATGATGCTACCCTCCACAGACAGACGCACAACAATGTACTATATTATGTAGCGTACACTCTACTGTCTGCGATAAAGAATCTTATAAAATGTGTGCAACTGAAATGTATGACACATATTTGGTCAAACTACACAACAATGGTGTTGTTCAGGTCTCTCTACACAAATTTAATTGGCTGATGATACCAGCCAACCGGCGATCAACCGGTCAAGCAGCCAACTAACCAGCAAATCAACTAACCAACCAACTAATCAACCAACTAATTGACTAACTAACCAATGAGCTACCAATCAATCATCAACCATTCAACCAAGCAATCAATCAAACAATCAAACCAACCAGTCAACCAGCCAATCAGCCAACGAAGCAGGTACCTACTTGCGTGTTTTGAGGTGTGGCGGAGCAGGTGTGTTGTCAGCTCGCTTCATAATTTACTCTATAATATTAAATTATATTAATAGTTTGGTTATATTGAAATTACTTTGAAATGTTATCTATTATGTTTTTACTTGTAGATAATCCTGACGTTCTACGTGCAAGTTTATCAATAGTCATTGTTTTTTGTTTCTAAAAACTTAATTTCAAAATTAAAAACTTGTTATAATTGAATGTTCAAACTAAATGGTCATCTGATGATAAGTTTACGACTGATGACAAGTGTACAACTGATGACGAGTGTACAACTGATGACAAGTGTACAACTGATAATAAGTGTACAACTGATGACGAGTGTACAACTGATGACAAGTGTACAACTGATGACAAGTGTACAACTTGCATGCATCGGTGACAAATTGAAAAAAATTTAATGAGCGTCTGGAATGTAAGGTGCATGCATGTTTCATCCAATTTACTTTCTTTTTTCTGTTGCGTTTCTTGTTCAGAATGAATGCATCCATGGTTTGTTCGTACATTCACATGAGAAATTTGTAAGGTTGCATGGCACGTGTGCTTGCAGTTACAACAAATGATACTCGCCACATTGGAACATTACGTTTGTTTGTATTAAGCTATTGTAAGCGAGGAACAAACAAATTTTCTCCATTTAAACGAGTTTCTGTTAAACATTAATTTTTATTAAGTTTGATGCTTTCTAATCACACGACTTTCTTTTCCGCCATAGAACTTCTGAAAATTTTTATTTTCTTTCTTACTGTTGTTTGTGCATTTCATCAGTTGCTGTGTGCAGCATCTATTTCATCAGCGCATTCCATCAGCGCATTCCATCAGTGCATTTTAGTAGTTGAGTTGATAATAATTAGGATGATGATCGTGACAACGAAGACAAGGGATGATGAGGATGAGGAGGAGGAGGAGGATGATAAATGGAGATGATCATTAGCAATTTGTGCAAAGTTACTTTAGATGTATAAATAATTCAACTAATTATTTACACTAACATTTCTCTCTTTCTTTTGAGAGCTTTGAAAGTAATTTTAATGGTAATTAATTAGAAATCTTAGAAAAATTGTGATGAAAAATAAAAATAGAAAAAAATAAAGGAGAAGCTGAGTTGCATGGAGACGTATCCACGCCAAGCGTCAACTGTTGATACCAAACGTCATATGTCGTTTATACCGTTATTCTTATTATAAGAACGCCACAGATCACACTTTACATCTTATTATTGTTGTTGTTCATATTATTGTTTCTGGTTGTTGTTTTTGTTGTTGTTGTTGTGCCTAATAAATTTGAGTGTTTTCAACTCTTTTTGGAGGGAGAAAATCAAACGGAACATTTTATTGGGCGCATCTGAGCGAGGTATTACGCAAGATCTTATCTTAATGTTCTCCGTTCTGCGCAGATTTAATGTGCGCATTATTATGCATGCGTGCTTTATGGCCTTCCTTATATTTCACTCATTTTATTTCCAGCGTCGAACATGTTTGAAATAATTGAACGATTCCTCCGCGCACATGACAGCTGTCGAAATTAATTGAAATATTTTGTTGTTATTTATAATGCTATTGTTATTATTATTGTTATTATTACATACGATACTATTATGTCTTTAATATTATTTTTGGTAAATAATTTATTGAATGTTTTTAAAACATCTCCAACAGAATATATGTGAAAGCAGCGGCGAAACACTGTGTGGGACGTGTCTGCCATTGTGAGGCAAGCCTTGCAGAGGATTGCACATCAATTTTCATTTTTCGCAATCATTTATGTAATTGTCATCATCGACGTTGTTTGTTGTCATTGATGAATAACACTGGCCCATTTGTTATCTCTCTTTCTTCCAGCTCAGTGGATATTAAATATTTTTCATTGCTGCTGCTGCTGTTTCTGTTGATGGAAATATTTTGCGTTGGAAGTATTACGAGCCTATTTAGTTGTAATAATTTTATAATTATATATATATATATATATATATATATATATATATACATACATAGATACAATAAATTTCAAGCAAAAATTTTCTGCTTCAGTTAACGGTTTTACAATTTTGTTATTTATTAGGATAACTTGCAAAATTATGAGAAATTGTGCGCTTCATAGAAACATGCAGTGGTCTGCCTGTCAGAAGATGTATAACGCGTTATGATTGAAAGATTGATGGCTGACTGGCTGGCTGTTTTTAAATGAAAAGCAGTTCGATTAAAATGACGAGAGGACGTTGCTATAAATCTTAATTATTTTCTCCAATGGATCACTTTACCTGTTTCGCTTCAAAAATTTTGAAGTTTTTTTGTAAGTAGATTTTATTTTAAATTTTCTGTTATTTTTTTTATTAAGATTTATGTGAAAATTGTTTAAAAATTATGAAATTTTTTTTGACCCTTGTGAGAATTAATTGGCAAGGACAAAATTATTTTGGTAAATAATTTAGGCAACAAGAGGATTTTTTATAGATATTGATAATGTTTATGGAAAGAAAAAAATTTTGCAGGCTTTATTTGCTGTTTGTCCGCATGCTTTTAATGGGAAGGTCTGTTTAAAGGATTTTGTGGTGCTGACAACATTTTGTTTGGACTGGTTCAATACTCATATTGTTATTAGACTAAATTTTGAAGAATATTTTTCTTTTTTTAAAGTTTGTTATTGTAGCACTTAATTTATGATTTAAGCACATTTTTATTTCATTTTTTGAAAGCGTCAACATGAAGTATAATGCATGCATTGTACCGTTGAATGTACTTGCTTCATGGCGAATATAATGCCCTCACTCATCTTCGTGCGAGGTTTTCATAACAAAATATTCTTCGTGTGTGTATGTGTTTCTGTGTGTGTGTGTGTTTCTGTGTGTGTGTGTGTTTCTGTGTGTGTGTGTGTGTTTCTGTGCGTGCGAAAGTTCAACGAGCTGCATAATAAAAGAAAAACATTCAGCTAATCTACATTTTTTTATTCCTAGGAAATCCAAAAAATCCTCTGAAGGTTATTTTTTAATTTATAATGAATACTGAAAAAATGTTTGCACACAAAAAATATTAATATTTTTTTGGCACTGACAAAAAATTGAATTAAGTTTTCCTATATCTCGAGAGTCAATATTGAAAACGACGGTTACAACATTTGTATCCTCGTGCCATGCAAATATTTCTGACCTGCTGGTGAATGTTTGTACAGCAGTTCTGCGTGTTGAAATTATTTCAACTCGTACAATTGTTTAAATGGGATGTTAAAAGTTTACTAGTTAATTAAAAAAAATTACTGTTTGCGTTTAAGCCATGTTCATTTTAACCCATGTTTTCTTGTAAATGTAAGTTAGGACTTTATCAAATAAATTGTTCAGAATAGTGCTAGAATACATATTTACATTTAGCATCATTTGAATTGTGTGCTTAAAGTACTGTAAAGTCTGTAACCGTATCTGGAAATGTGTACAATTCCAACCACCATTCCACGTTATTCATTTAGATCAATAAATTGTGAGGCTTGCATGTTTTTGACGAGCAAATCAACTACAGCGTTCATACTTCCATCACCTCCAATAATTTAAATGTTGTGCAGTATTGTTGTTGTTGTTGTTGTTGTTGTTGTTGTTGTTGTTGTTGTTGTTGTTGCTGGTGCCACTGCCATGTGAGAAACTATTTAACATTTTTGTTAAAAACAACGAGTTTCCAAGATTGCATATAAATCTAAACGACTGTATGGCGAAACAAAAATGTTCAGGCCACATGGATTTTTGGGGATTGATTGATTGATTGATCGTATGGATGGATGGATAAATGGATGGATGGATGGATGGATAAATGGATGGATGGATGGGTGGGTGGATGGATAGATGGGTGGGTGAATGAATGGGTTAATGGATTAATGGGCCACCGGGCAAACAAACGGATATCTGTGTGGATGAAGGCTATATAAATATTTTATTTTAAACAACTTTGATCATTCAATAAACTATAATTTTATTAATTGTTTTATTTTTAAATGTTCTTATTAACTTTAAAATAAATTTATCGTTAAAACATTTTCGTTATTCCACGTTTATAGATCATAAATAGCAATACAAATATGTGTATGTTCGATCAAAATACAAATTTTTGACAAAATAGCTATTTATTGTCTTATAAAGTAAAAAAATACATATTACATAAACACATTTTTAAACAACACAATTAGATGAGACTGCATTTTTATTTACAACAAAAACTTTTTTCCAAAGATCTTTAAGAACTTCTCTTAAAATATTTGACCGTGTGAAGCATATCAGAGGAAAGGACAGAACCGTGGAACAAGCCAACCAGCGGGTGATTATTTCCAAGTAGAATGAAGATACTTTCTGAAATTGAATGGCCGTTGCGTATAAAAGATTGAAGGAGATGGTCGGCATCCATGACGTTAAATAAATGAAAAGCAAACAACGCGAGGTTCCGATGAAGATGAAATCTTTTCTGAACGAGCAATCCAACAAATGAAATTTTTTCGATGACTGTCGGCGTCGAAGAAAATGATCGAACCGCGAGCAACTTTTGGAGTTCAGTTTGTTTAATTGGCTCTCTTCTCTTGTTTCGTTTGAATTTTTAGGCTGCACGTCGTCGCTTCTATGTGGCGTTGATGAGGAAGATGATGATAACGACGCTTCTGTCGTCAGCAAAGATAACGCCGACGATGTCTCCAACGATGTTTTCACATTTTGTGCTTGAGATGACGTGAAGATTTTTTTTGAAGTTCTGAATCCTGTTTGCTTTGTCTTGAATTGATTCGAGTGGCAGTGCACATCATGGACATCTTCTGAGCGTCCCTTCAAATTCGGAGTTTTTAAGTTTTTGTACAATTTTTCAGAACAAGTGTGATGACCACCGATAGAGGCCTCAGTCTTTTCTACATTGTTTGGCCATTTAAAATTGTGATTAGCTATAGATTTTTGTTTGTTATTTTTTCTGGATTCAGGTAATAAATCACAAGAACGGATGTTCGCTTGACCGTTCTGTGGTTTGCTGATTTGAATGCAAATTTGAGTGGCTGGTTGATGCGCATTGATTTGTTCAAATTGTCTTTCAGTTTGCAGCGATTGTTCTCTTATACGTTCATTATCAATGTGTCTGATAGAGGAAGATTGATTATCGTGCATTAATGCTGCTGTTTGCATTCTATTCTCCATGTTTTCGTTCATACAATCAGCAATGTTGTTCTTCGGCGTGTTGCTTTTATGCTTGTTGCTTTTGTTTATTTTCCTGGTGTTGTTGTTGTTGTGTTTGCTGATACTTTTATGGTTAATGTTACAATTGTTTATTCCACCGCCAAATATTTTGTCGTTGTTGTGTATGTGATTGTTGCATATGTAGTTGCTGTGTATGTGATTGTTGCGTATGTTGTTGGTAGGAATAGGATTGCTATATGTATTGTTGCAAGTTTGATTGTTGCATATGTTGCTGTTGTTGTGAGTGTGATTGTGATTGTGTGTGTTATTTTGACTGTCGTTGTTTTGATTTCCATTGTTGTTGAGACTTTCTTTGCAAATGTTGCGACCGTTGTTTTCGTGCACGCTTACTTTGCAGAATTCTTTCGTCCTTCTGCAGTTGTTGGTCATTCGGAGGTTAACTTCGTTCATTCGTTTTATGAGATTTTTCCCAGGAGATAAGCTATTTGCCTGGCCGACAACGTTAACGTCTTCTGCCTCATTTAACTCATTTGCCGCGTCAGGATGTTCGCAGTTATTTCTATTGTTTTCATACAAACGGCAAACAGTTCTCGCATAATTTACGTTTTCTCCAACGTTAAATTTCTCATTAACAAGAAAATTGTAATCAACTCGTGTTTTAAAATTTGAGTTTTTTCTGAGAGGCGAGAGATCTGGAGAAGAGATGATAGCATTCTCTCGCGTGCATTCATCACTAGCCAGCACATTCATCGCGTTGGTCGATTGTCTTTCGACGCTTTCCATGTCGTTGCTAGCGTTGAAGTTGTTGCTCTTCACGTTCTCAACCGTGTCATCATGTGTTTCAATTATGAATTCTCCGTCAGTATCAACATTGAAAATGTTTACTGAATTTAAATTATCGTCGGCTGCATTTTTTTTATTTGTTTCATTTATAAACCAGTCGGCAGCGCAATGATTCGTTTCATTTTCGCAAACTTCTGAAACGCTGATATCTGCAGACAATGTGCTGGCTGAAACATCATCATCATCATAATCATCACTCTCATTATCATCATCATCATTGTCATCACTATTATTATCATGACCGTTAATGCTGGGACCAGCGTTGAACTGCCCGTCACGTGGTACATCGTTCGCGTCACAATTTGATTTGTCAAATTCGTTTATTGCATTTTGATGAAGAACTGCTTGCACGTTGCCCGCTTCTCGTTTCATCATTTGCGTTGGTACGCAACTGGCCAAGTTATTCATTTGAAACAATAACTTCTTGCACAGGCCGTCAAACACGAGGGCAACGAAGGCAGGAACGAGGAAGGAGAAGAGGCAAGTGAGTATGGCGAAGTTGGCGTCGTCGATGATGCACATGGAACGATCCAATAATAAGGTGTCCGACGTTGAAATGCTCAACATGTATTGAGCAGATGATTGAACGATTCCAACCAGCCAAGGAGCAGCCAACCAGAACGACGAAGAACAGCTGCATGATTGATAATGAGGTCGAGGTTTGTCCTTCAAACGTAAATACGTGTCCATCTTGATGAACGCCATGTGCAGGAACGTTACGTTGCATAGGAAAGTGTCTGCGGCCAGCCACAACTTGCACTGGTTGTCCGTGCAATCGAACTTACCTGCAGTATTGTAAACATCTGTTTCAGTTATTTATTATATTATTCAACAATATATTCAAATGCTTATTTATTAGTTTTCCTTTGATGCAGCTTTCAACGCCAAAATATTTCTTTTGACAGAAGACGTCAGATGCTAAGGAGCATGCATAATATATTTCACATATTCCGTCACTATGCACTTTAATTTGATTATGTGTCAAAAATTATTCGATAAAAAACGTGTTTTTATGTCAAATTATTTTTAATAATAAAAAAAATAAAGAAAACAATTTGTTTTTAACTTTTTCACAATTTTAGCAATAAATCAACTTGTGTTTCGTTTGATTCAATAAATCTTCTCAGACAAGAACAGCGTAACGTCATGCTGATTGCATGTTGGCTAACAAATTCTTTGCATTACTTTTGTATGTTGGGGCAGGCAATCAAAATTCGACCACAAAATCATCAGTCAGTTCTCGACAGAATAACTACTGCTAATTAATTATAATTAAATTTTTTTAAATAGGAAAACTCATAAAAACGAAACCTCGTAGGGCTAAACTTACGTGTATGATTTCATTTTTGAAAATCAGCGTGGCGAAGCGAGTCGTATTGATAGGATTTAATATGAATATTTCTTACAAAATAAGCCAATTCAAATTAAAATAAAATAGAAACATTCGTTAATAATTAAGACAAAACCAAAAATATTTTGGCAAGAAATACTTTGAAATATTCAAAGGTTTTAAAAATTCTATTAGCGCGTCTGGCATACATACACGTCTGACTTACGTGTTAGGTTATTTGAAACGGGAATAAATTTATATGACCAGTCATCATTGCATTTATTTCACAATAAATTTTTTACATTTTTTAAATATTTTTGGAACATTGTTTTTGTTGCGTTTTTCAAAACCACTTGTTTTGTTATTTATTCATTTTTTATTTTCATGTAATTGCGCAACAAAGTGTTTCTTAACTACTACAAGGCTCTGTTTACGTTGTCGTTTTCAGCCAATTAAGTAATAAAAGTTTTCTACTAAGAAAATTTTAAGACCAAAAATTATTAGAATTTAAGTAAAATTTTTATTTAAAGGTGGTTGCTTAGATTAAGATTCGGTAACCTTTTAATTCTCAGCCATTCTTAGGAATCATTTTTATTTTGGAGAATCACACAAAAAATTGTAATTGAAATTTTAATTCAGTTTTTTTAAACTTTTAAAAAGATTTTTTAATTTATCTTTTTTTATAATAATAATACTTTTCAGTTGATTACATTTTTAAATGCTAACAGAAACTTTTTGAAGTTTAGTCGTTCATCTGTACAAGGTATATAGAATGAATTTTTGTTGCTTGCGATCATTTATTATAACTGTTAGGCACCATATTTTGTATCATATTTAATACAGATTCACACAGTTTCTAATTTAAAATTTTTGTCTATTTTAATTAGCAACAGCGTCAAAATAATTACATGAGTCAGCACATTTTGACCACTATTCACGTTTGGTTCAGTCAGAAATCCACCCCATAAAACATACACACATCTATACCGTGTGTACTCAATTTAAGTACTGTTTATTAATTGGCAATCGAAAAAAAGATAGTTTTTCTGCGACATTCAATCTTGCAACATTGTATATTCATGCAGATCAGAGCTGGTTTATTTCTTATCTTCTCCTACCAATCATCAATTACCTACTGCTTTTTATAACCAAAAATGAAAAAACATTTTCTTCCATTACACCATATTATTCAAGATTTCTAAAAAAAACTTGCAACAAATTTGAAAAAGTCAATACTTAGACAAGCCAATTGAGTATTTTGTAACGATCCAGATTTTAATTTTGGAAACAACCTATTGTTATTAAATTTTTCATTAATAGAATAAAATTTATATTCGTTAATCCAGCGGTAAAGCATTTTGGAAAATGATTTTAAATTTACAAACAAACACTAACATAAAGAGCTTAAGAGATAGAACGTTGTTAGAATTACAGCTTTTTGTGGATTAAATAGGTATGGGTATTAAATTTTAAAAGGAAAAATAATTTTTGTTATTTACATGAGAACTTTTTTTTTACTTTTTGTTTGCGTCAAGTGGTTTGCGACGAAAGTCTTTTGGAAAGTGGGAGGGGTCACGAAAATATTTATTTTTATTACCAAATATTGGAATGGCACCTTATATTCCCCAGGTTTAAAAAATTATGCAAAAGTTATGGTAAAAATAACACACACAGGTTTATATACATGCTAACTCCGCATGTTTTTATTATCATAACATCACTCCTGGCATTACATTCTGTAGGGTTTAGATGTTAACGAACATTCTTGCACTCCATTATGGGCTCTTTACGCAGCAGCCTAATTGTATTTGCGTCTCCAACGTATTGAACATTTCTTTGATTTAATTGCTCTGCCTCCGAATAAAATTGAGCCTACCCACCTGATGCAATAAACACGCGTTATCTCCTAAAATACGTATGCCGCATGTTTACGAATTTGCAAGAGGAGAAGAAGGGCCTGTACATATTTATTTATTGTCTTCCTAACAAATGTTTCACATATTTTCATTAATATACTTTTTTTCCTATTTTAAAAATAAATATTCTATAGTTTGACTTTTTTAAAGCCTATTAGGCAAAACTCATTAATTCAGGAATGCACGCAATTTAAAAATTCATTAAAAAATGTAGTTTTATCGTAATTTGTTTCAAATTTGTTTGTTTTTTGTGTTGAAAATATATTCAGAATTTTTTAAAAATAGAGCATCAGTATTCATTAGGAAGCGCACTGTATGAAGCAAGGCGGAACGTAGATTAAACAATTAATCATGCAACATAGGCAGAAAGGAGAGGCAGATTGCATATTAATGGTCCAGCTTGCCAGCATCATTTGCTCTTCATGGATTCCTGATCTATCGCCCGGGGCAGCGCTCAGACATTTTTTCTCGTTTCTTCGTTTAGCTCTGATAGCGTTCATCATTTTCTCAGAGAGCATTCAATGTCTGACCAGCAAATTGAAAACAAATCGAAACATACTTTTCAATTATTCTTATTTCCTCCATATAATTCATTACTATGTAATCCTAATTATAATCAACACGGAATGCGAAATTGATTTCTTATAATTTAACAAAGTTTTAATTCTAAAAACTTCTTCAATATTTAGAAAACCTTAATTTTTTTTTGTTTTCAATTCGTGACAATTTGTTTTTGAAAAAATTTAAAACTCTTTTAAAGATTTAGTTCATAAGTTGATTGAAGAGCGTGTCGCCCATAGAACTCATACTTCGCGTATACTTCTGTGAGCAATTTTGTATGTTGAATTTTATGCTTCGTACGTGCGGGAGATTTTCGAAATTTATGACGATCGCTTTAATGGGGAAAAAATAAACCAACCTTTCAAAGTAATGAAGAAAGTTAGCGGAAGTACTGTGGTAGCCATGAGAAGATGCATGATGGAGAGCGATGCAAGGAAGCAGTAGTTGGATGAGGTCCGCAGATGATCGTTCAGACAGATGGCCGCGAGAACCATGGAGTTCGATAGCAAGGCGACCAAAATGACGAGCGCCAGTAACAATCCAGTGCACACGTGCATCGCCAACCTTTCATTATAACTGATGGCTCCGGTACGGAGTGCCGTGACGTTTGTATTGTTGCTAGTCAGTGCGCTGTAAGATATTTCAGAAAATGATGGAGTGGTGGGCTGGGATGATGCTAACGACGATGGTGACAGTGAATACGATGAAGACGTTGATGATAAAAATGTTGATGACACGGCCAAATTATAGAAAAGTCCGTGAAGTATTCTGAAGATATAAACTCGCTGATACATTGTTCCAGGTCTTAATTTATACCGTTTTTTATATCTTGAATATTTTCACTGTTAGTAATAAAAATTTAATTAACAAATTTAATTTTTTCGGAAATTCGTGACAGCAATGTAGAAGAGTAATATTTATAAATGTTGATTACACTACAGAACGTTCATCCTATTTCATTCAGCAGTGGTTTCAAACGAATTTGTTAAGTTGCGGCAGGCATATTCTTCAGGACAATTGTCATTCAAATCAGCATCAACACGTGAGATATGGCATCGAATAAATACTCGCACATTATTTATTTCCTATTTATATTTGTTACAATTTAAAAAATCAAATTTTGATAGGATGGACCTGGAAATAGGATGGATCTACTTTACAATGCCGCAATAAATATTCCGTTTAATGATTTTGTAGATGAATATTTCCAACAATTACACAACTTTCACTTCAATCTACGTTGAGATGACCGTGCGACGCGGAGCCTGTGCTGTGTGTTGTGTTGCAAGCCTTGAAATACATGCATACGTGCTTCCCTTATTTCCCTGTTGTAAACTTGCGTGCTCTATAAATTACACATACATGCATACATACATACATACATACATACATACATACATACATACATACATACATACATACATACATATTATACATACATACATACATATATGTATGTATGCATGTACATACATACATATTATACATACATACATACACATATGTATGTATGCATGTACATACATACATACATGCATTCATGCATGCATTGCACACATACTTAAATGTACATACATGCATGAAGAGTTGGTATATATATACATAAATACATACATACAGGAATATCAAAACTGTACTCGTATTAAAACTTATAAAAAAAACAGAGTCATATTGGCACATTTAAATTGGAAAACGAATGTAAAACTCCGCATTTTATGTACCGTACATTTGTCAAAAGAATCAGTTGTACGAAGTTGTACATACGAAATAATTAGACAAATGTGTACTTATATATTATGATACTTGTACTGCAAATAATTGTGTACACTAAAATACAAAGTAACGTATACATTGATTTGAACATACCAACCCAGGAACATATGCACATGCATCCATGCATACATACGCAACGTATACAAATAAACGAAAACGTACGTGAAAATTGTTGCAAACATAATAATTGGAGCACGCATACGTACAAAATAGAACTGCATACAAACAAAATAGCATAAACTCAGTTTATTAGTTTGACAGGTGCCTTCAAGAATGTTTGTAATATTTAGGAAGCCCGGCCGCAACCTTAAAAAAATTACCATTTTCTTCTTTATGATTGCCTTCTTCTGCTATCTTTCAATTATTTGTTTTTTTTAATATTTAAAAAAAATTGCAACTGAAATTGGGATTGTGGTGTATTTTCAATTCTTAGACATTAAATAGGATTAATTGAAGAATCCCAACAGCGGAATTGAGCGGCGAGCATTTTGAACGCGTGAAATTTACAGCGCACAGGACTCCATCACTTCATTGAAAATGTCAACCCATTCCTGGTTCACTATACAATTAATTACCAATAAAAATGGAAAATTTAAATTAAATTATTAACTGATTAATAATATTTTAAACTAAACTCATTTTACCAAAAAATTGAAGCACAAGTAAAAAGTAAAACGGGTGGATTGTTAGGTATAACAACATACAATAAACCACACTTTGAAATGCAACACACATGGACACACACCAAACACACACACACACACACACACACACAGGAACACATCAAAGTAATCAATAATTGCCATCTTTAAACTCAGATATATATTCCTCGCTTTGATGTTATAACTTCCATTTTCATGAATTTTATATGGCTCTCAGTATCTGCATTGTTAGCTGCTTTTATATATTCTGAAAATATTTGGTTCTGCCGGTTTACCATATGAAGTTATTGCAATTTTTAATATTTTTCAACTAACATATTAGATTTGAAATCTTACGAAAGAAATGTCTAGTAAACACAAACCATTACCTGATATCTGGAAAATGTTCATATATCACATAACAGGTTTCAAAAAGCGAGATGCCTCAAAATTAAAAAATTGCATTACAAATATCCACACGTCTTTGCAAAGTAAAATAATGCTTTCAGAAAATTTTTTAGAGGCAGTTTCTTTCAACCTTTTTCGACATGCATCACTCAAAACCCTATTTTCATCCTTTCAAATGTTTTTCATAATTTCTGCTTACATGATGTTTGGCGTTTTGTTAGATTTATATTTTTTTTAAAGGATACAACTTAATTTTTATACATTTTGAGAATCTGAAAAAAAATTATATTTAATTCTACAAAACTACTTGTTAGATCAGATCAGTGATTAGATAACATATTAAAATCAGATAAACATTTAAAAGATTACTTTTTTAGATGGTATAATTTTTAATGCGATCATTTAATTTTTTCATTCCACCATTACCTGTATAATTCATTCAGTTGGATTATTCAAATTAATTCCAAAAGGAAACGTAGTCATCTTCAAAGTTAATCAGCAAAAGGTAAGTAAAATAAGTGGAGTACAATATTCATTGTATATGCACATGTATGTATGTGTATATATATATATACCATACCACCATTATATATATACCTACAACCACTAGACACACCCCTCTCTTCTATATCTACAAAACTCGCCTCAAATTAATCCAGACAAGCATAAAAATAACAGGTCCTAAAATTTGGACAGAACTTGTATCTCCCCATCTAAGAGCCATCATAAACCTACAACATTTCAAGTCAAAATTCCGTGCTTTTTTATTGACACCGGATCTCGACTCCACCACCTAATACTATATTAAGAATACGTTAGAACAAATGATGCGGATGAATGGTCTTTATGAATGGTTAAACATTTATGTGTTTATATATGTACTGAGCGAACATTTACATAGTTATATGTCTATATATGTATGACACGAACATTTACTTATTTATCTTCAATTATCTTTCTGCTTCAGTTATTTTCCTTATTTTATTTCATTAACTATTCATGTATCTACCTGCGGTGGCCACCACAAGACAAACAGTCTTATTCGGTCTCCGCATATTCAACTTCATAACTTTTATTCACTTATTTGATATGTTGTTGATTATGAATAAAACTTTGAAATGGAAATGGAAAATGTGTGTGTGTGTTTGTGTGCGCGCGCGCGTGTGTCTGTGTTCAAGTATATGTGTGTAATGTATATATGTATTTATTGTATATATGTAATGTTTGAGTGTTTATGTATTGCATGTATGCGTAACTCACCGCTGGTGTGGCAAGATGTATGAATGACCATGTGCATTTCTTCTTCGCTCTGCAATTAATGCTAATTGGAAATTAAAAAATAGATTATATATGGCCAATGATTATTAATAAAACAAACACAGATACTATTTAAATTACGTTTATGAATGCTAACAAATATATTAATTCATTTAAATCATTCATTCAAGATTGAAGAATTTCAAAAATTCTTATTCTATTTTTTTAATTTGTTCATGAAGTTTAAACATTCAAATTAACTGAATCCTTAATAAATTATCAGTTGATACAAATATCATAAATACAATTGATATGAAACTTTTATAAACTAAACGTGCACTGAAAAAATATGAATAGCTTATGAACCTAACATTAACAAAAAACAAATGTTTAAAACTAAGAAGAGTAAGTATTGTATATGTAATACACATACACCGTAGTCACTTTAATTGTTCAACTGAATGGAATGTTTGAAGAGCAGGTAAAAACGATCGGACTAATGCATTTAAATTTAATTTTAATCTCTTGCTTGAAATGAAAGTTTAAACAATATGAAATACGTACTGGTTTTCTCATTTTTTCAATGTATACAATTCGCTAGGCTTGTCATATTTGCGCTGTACATAAGTTTCCTGGAAACTTCAATTATAAATTCACGCTAACAATTTTTTTAGAAATTTGTATTAGTTTTCGCTAATTAAAAAATTCAATACTACAAAAATACAACTGCTGCGTGTGTGTGCATCTTTCCTTCTGTGAACAAAAATCAAACAGGACTGTTGTTAAAATTAATCGTTTGTTTGTTGTATTGAAAAGCAGACTAGTTGTAAATTATTTAATGTTGAACGTGGTATTGTCAAATATGTTCAAATCTTTTTCATGTAATTTCAAATTATGAGCCAGCAAGTAATGATTTCCGAAAAATACTACTTTTCAATTATAATTAAATATATGCAGCTGAAAGTCATAAACTGCTCTTTAAAATATATGCTTGCTGATCATTCTCCATCAATAAAAACCTGTGGGCTTTAGTTTAGAGTCTTGGATGATTCTACAGTGGGAGTTTTGTTGATACTTAAGACCAAAAATATCCTAGTGAACCAAAAACAAAAATTATGTAAACATTGTTAACGTGCTACAAACCCAGCAGTTTAAGCAGCTCACCTGCACAGTTTGAAAACAATATTTAGAAGAAAGCATTGATACATAGATGAGATTGTTGTCTCATCTCGGGAACAATCTTCCCAAAATATGCGCAGTTCTGTATGTGATGGGAATGCTTGAAAATTTTCTGTTTTAGAAAAGGACTGCAAATTTGTGAGTGACACGAGTAAGCAAGAAACCAACGCATCTTGTTCTTGTATGTTAGAAAATAATTTATCGCAATGAAAATAACTCATCTTCGCTGACTTTGATCTTAAAAGCATGCTTTCGTACATGGACTACCTACGAAGGTTCTGAGGTTTCTCATTTAACATCACATTCCTCGCATTCTTCAAGTGTTTCAAATGTGTTTAACATAAAAGTGTGCTTCACGATTAACTAAATTAATATCTATATATTTTTATATTTATTTTACGTAAAATCATTTTTTCTAACTTTCATTAGTACTTTAAAAAATTGTTCAAAAATTAGCACTGAATTAATATCTATATATTTTTATATTTATTTTACTTAAAATAATTTTATTAACTTCCATTAGTACTTTAAAAATTGTTCAAAAATTAGCACTGAGGGTTTCGTTAAGAATTTTTAATTTAATTTTGTGGATTTATTCCTACAGGCGCACATATTTAAAATCGTTCTTTTAATGAAAATCCGTCTACACGTCTGTGAAATATGTCACAACAAATTGCAATGACTTCGAGAGATATGTACAATGTAGTACTAAGTATAAACTAGAGATATGTATGTATATATACATGTGTGTGTGTGTATATGTGTGTGCGAGTTTGCTTGTTTTATGTAATTGTAATAAATATATTCATATATTCAAACCATAGTATTCGAAATTAACGTTTACCTGGAAGTATTTGCGTCATTATTATTAATCACGATCCTATTCGTCTGCCCGTCGATTATTCCTTGTGTTAAATTAAAATAAAATATAATGAGTGTGTCAATACTGCTCCAATATATATATATATAAATATATATATATATAATGTGCTGGTAAAAGACCATTGCATTAATATTTATATATAAATATATATACATATATATAAATATCATATTCTGCATATCATATCTGTATATATTGTATTACACAATAATACTGAACATTAAATATCAATAGACATTACACATGACATTATTTTCGTCACGTAAATACAATATTTGCATTTTTCATTGAAAAATATTAAAACTGCTGTTACATTCAATTTATTTAACTTGAAAATGGAAATAAATTAATTTAATACGGTGGTGTGGCAAGTCTGATCTGAGATTTTCAAACCACTTTTTTTAATATTGTGGTTTCAATAGCGTGCTATGCGTATGAATTGCAAGGCAGAGCGGTATGTAGCAACACACGTCTTCTATTGTACTGTTGCCTTATTTGCATGTAACTTCATGTCATTCATAATTTGCAGAAGTCCGTTTGTGCTGTCAAATCTATTACACTGTTTAACTAATATTACGCATTCTTCAAGCTGCCTTCATTGTGTAATAGTATCTGCAATAATATCTTTACCTCAGTCACTGCTGTTGGCGTTGCAGAAATATTTTTTAAAATTTTAATTTGGTTTTTATCCTGAAAATTGTTAAATAGACATGATCACTGATTTTGCATTTTAATTTTTTTAATTTAATAATTTGATTTGAAGTTTTCGAAATGTTTTTGCTAACGCTGTCAATTCTTGCCTTGCTTGGATCTTCTACTTATCGAAAAATTGTTCAAGCGGACGAGACTGCATCAGAGAACTTGAAGGAACTTCAAATAATTTTAGAAAAATCTGATCGAGGTACATCGGAGTCTGGAAATGTACTGATTTATAAAGATAATAAACTTTGGTCCATATGTGACGATAACTGGAACATCAACTCTGCACACGTGGCCTGTAGACTTCTTGGATTTGTCGGAGCTTCTAATGCACATGCCAATTCATTTTTTGGAGCCACGCATTACGGTAAAAAATTTATTTCTACTATTTATATGAAGTATTTATAACGAAATTATGAACGACAACGAAGAGATCGGATTGGACAACGTGGTGTGTACTGGTTTGGAAGATCACCTAATTTCTTGCCAGCACGCAATTTTTGGCAAGCACAATTGCAACAAACGAGAAGCAGCCGGTGTCACATGCAGCAACAACATTCCAACGTCCACCAAAAAACCAACACGACCTACTTATAACAGAGAGAGTTTCACGGTACCCAACGACTTTTCGGGCAACAGCGTCTATAAGGAGGTGCAAGCATTGAAGGCAGCTGCAGCCAGCAGCCAACATAACCACTTCCATCCGCCAGTTAGTTGTTAACACTGCAAAAGTTAATTAGTCAATTATTGCAAATAAAATAATTCAGTTGAAATTATTACAATTAATAAAACAACCACTAATAAAAACTGTTTGTTCTTCAGCCATACGCCATACGCCTTCAAAATGGACGGAATGATAAGGAAGGTCGGGTGGAGGTGAAAGTTGAAGGAGGAGAGTGGGGAGTTGTGTGTGGAGATGGCTGGTCCCTCTTGGAAGCCATGGTAGTCTGCAGACAACTTGGACTCAATTATTCCCTCTCAGCTCTTAAAGTAAGTCAATAGTTGTGTTTAAGAAACTCTTTATTATTGATATTTTATTGCTGCTTCTCATTTCGAAGACAAACGATTGATAACCATTTAACTATTTAATTTAAGTCAGGTTCGCACTAGTTTCTATATGATTTGAAATTAAAAATAAATTCAAAAATGTATATAAGTTATTACATTTAGATACCCGTTAAATTTAATCTTTTCTCATAAGTTACAAACTTTTTTTTATTTCAATCGATCTCTTTGCTTACTTAGAGCTTCAATGTTCTTCCTGAGGTTAATGCTTTGTTCAGTCATACACGCAACGTAAACTGATTGAAGTGCATTTTTTGAAACTCAACAGACTTCTTTCTTCGGTGGAGACAATATGGCGAAGATCTTCAACCAGATTCGCTGTGACGGGGATGAGGCCAACCTTACTGAATGTTACCATGGCCAAATGTTGGAGAGAGTTTCATGTTCAAAAGCAAACAGGGTTGCCGGAGTTATGTGCGTTGAAAGTGAGTACAATTGTACAATTCAACCTTTGGCTCAAACTGGATGTACACGATTTTTAAATATAGCTGTATGAGAAGCTGATAAGTTCGATCTTTTTAAAATGTACACACACGTGTGCGTACCTACCTTAGCTTGCCTCAGCCTGATAAAAACACGTACTGCTGGATATATTTTGAAAAATTTAGGCTGAAAGTAATAAATATTTATTACCTAACTTAAAAATTGAAATATTAGCATTATTATAAGAATTTAAGAAATGCACCGCCAAATACTTGAAAGCTATCATAGAACATAAGCTAAACAAGTTATAAATGCTCCGTGTGAACGTGATAAAAGTCAAGCAAGTAAATTCTTATTCGAAAAATTTTTTAAATAAAAATTTTGCGTTTACTTATTGTCTTGTTCAAAATTGTTAAAAATATTGCTCAAAACAGTATGTATTGTTGCAAGAAAAGTGATGTTCTTTTACAGCTACTATATTTTTCTTTTGCTTGCATGCATCAAAGCGTAGTCAAACTGCATACGAAATCAACTATGTGTGGTGTAAAATTAAAAAATTAAAATTTCACTTGTCGAATAAGACGTTCTATATTTTAAACAAACTTTCACAGTTCCAAATATTAGTGTGTTATATACGAAAAAGAAACCTTTATTTATTAGTTTAAATTATTCAAATTGTATAAATATTAACATTATGAAAACATTATGTTTCATTCAGTTTTCTTTCATGTTTTTTTTTTTAAAGGAACAAAAAACATCAGTCTGTTGGATTTTAATGAAATTAACTGACACAAATGTTTCACTAAAAAACCGTACGTGAAGTCATTTTTTAAACTTATCGTGAAACTCGATGCTTGTAATTTTACTTGCATCTTGCTATAATTCTGACTTCGTTCGTTTGAACTTAGACTAAGGCGAAGTTATTTACAATAATCTATAAGGCCACTACATTGTCTTTTATAAAAGGGTTACCAGACTTGGTACCAAATGCCACGCTGATTGAAAAGTCTGCCTACCTGCATGACCAATCCATGTACCATCTGCAGTGTGCTATGGAGGAAAACTGCGCTGCGCCGTCAGCTTTCGAAATAAAAAATACCAAAAGCGGTAACTTTTACATTCTTTTATGTTTTCTTCAATGGCAAATTATTCCAGTATTCTGAAAAATAAGTTACGCATACGTGTAGATGTAACGCAAAAATGTACGCAGATTGGCACGTCCACAGGAGACGTCTGCTTCGATTTTCCAGCAGTACATGGAACTTTGGGACAGCTGATTTTAAACCTATCTTAAGGAAACAAGATTGGGAATGGCATCTTTGTCACATGTTACTTTTTATTGCATTAATAGAATTTGTATTGTTATTTAGATCATTCAATAAACGAAATTATAGGTTCATATTTCATCTTCAAAAATATACATCCTTATATTTTTAGTGCATTGAATCTCGTGTTTCTTGAAACCATTTTAAAGGCACTACCATAGCATGCAAGTGTTTGCAAGTTACGACGTGTTGGACGCCTACGGAAACAAAAAAGCCGAAGGTCACAAAGCTAGTTTTTGTTTGGAAGATGTTGAATGCGTCCCCAATGTAACAAAGAAATATGCGTGCAAGGGCTATGGCGATCAAGGTGACATATTAATTTATAGGGGGAGGTTACTCACTTATTATTATTTTCTGCTTTAATAAACCAAGCTGTACTTTTTTTCAAAGGAATCAGCATCGGATGTGCCGACAACTACTTGCACGACATAGATTGTCAGTGGGTGGACATGACCGATGTACCGCCTGGATATTATATTTTTAAGGTATTATCAGTTCTTGAAAAAGTTTGCAAAATTTATTTTATACGGAACGTTTATTTTTATTGTCTTATTAAACTCTAAATTAAAAATTAAAAAGTCTTTTGCAACTCGCATTTTGATTTTGTCTAGCGATTACAGAAAAACTTTTTCATTACATTATATAAGGAGATCGTATTTATTTCAATAACGGTCGTATTTTCTTTATTTCATTATCTCGACCAATTTTCCTAAAACAAAACACGTTTGTGCAAGTATGTAAACAATAGAGTTATGCTAACGTTTGTGGACATTGAGTTGAGTTGATGTTTTGTGTGAAAAATGCACCGTAGCTCTAATCGTAACATTAACCAACGACGATAACATTAACAAGCGATGAGTAGTTAGCGTTAATGTCGTAGTTTTTATGGTCTTGTGGAATCAGCTGGTTGATCACTTGCTGTAAAATGTATGGTTACCATCGCGTTCTTAGTATGCATTTTTGAGCAGTTTCTAAATTTGACCACTATATAAACCTAGTTTATTCATTTTTAAATAAATAATCATTTTAATTTATGTTTCAACCTCTTTGAAAAGTTTTAAGGAGCGCTATGTAAATTCTCTAGTAATAATAATAATGAAAATAATAATATAATGAAAGAGTATATATGTGTCAAATATTTGTACAGGTTCACATCAATCCGGAGTTCAAGATAGCCGAGTTAGACTTTTCGAACAACGCGGTGACCTGCGTTTTATATTACTCTGGATCCAGTGTCAACCTGAATAGTTGTAAATTAGGCAGGGGTTAATATGGAGCTCAAGAACACACTACTGTTCGATAAATTATTTTAAAAGTTGTTTCAAAAAAAATTTTTGAATGGAAAGATTTGGAATACGCTACATTTTATAAAAGTTTTTTGTTAAATCCGAATTTACACAAAAATAATTGTACTGGTTAACAGGTAGGTATAACTCTTATATATAGAACATAACATTATATTATATTATATGTTAAATGTATTGTTATATATATATGTTAATATATATATATTATATTACATATGTTATTTTCTTTATTTATGGTATAACCGGGTATAATTGATATTTATAATTATTTTGCAGATCATAATTATTTTGTTATCTTTGTTGTGTTGAATACTAATTAATACTAATAAATAAAAAAAATCACAATTGTTGTCTGTTTCTGCACTTAAAAATTCTAGGAAGCACGCAGTTAGTAATAATATTGCTAGTTAGTGAGAATCGTGGGGGAACCAGGGAATCTTGGGTATTACATATAAGTATTGTAACTAAAATATTGTATATGATCGCGAGGTGCTTTCGATTTTTTCCACAAAACTTTTAACAAAAGTTCACTTTTATAAATCGCAATTGTGTTGTCAAGTTTCATTTCCATCACAGCGGAGACGATGGCCGACTTGACGAGCAGGGAATATTATCAGTTAGTTAGGCAAATGCTGAATTTTTTATTTATAACTTTAATTAAAACATTGTACGGTTGAGTAAATTAAGTTTTTTTCACAGAAAAGGCAACGAATGTTTTGTTGATGAGAATTATGATGAGGCTCTCCAAGTTGGTAGATTTTTCTAGAAATAGAATGAAATAAATACAAATAATTAATCTCATATATATATATATATATTATATTCTCTGACTACTTTTCCATCACTTACGAAGTTCTGAGCATATCTCAATACTGTTGAAAGTTATGGAAATAGCGCTTTACAAATTAATCTAATTATGATTGATTTTGTCATTTTGGGTAATGTAATATAAATGTAAAACCATCATTGTGTTGACTTGTTTTTGCTTATTATAAAATCTTGTTAAAATTAGTATTTTAAAAGTGTTTTCAAATAAAGTATAAAATAGTGTTATAAATACATATAATAAGTAATAATTAAATAATAAGTAGATAGAAATATTTTAGATTAACTAAGAAAGACATTAATGTTGCTAGAAGTTCTTACTTTCATCCACGTAGATAAAGCAGAATAAAAAACGTTTGCCTTTTCTTGACGATCCTACTCTACTACTTGTTTCTTCATCAGTTTTAAATAGGACTGATTAATATAACTCGCTCTACTGTTGTCTTCCTGATTCTACACTCTATCCTTTATGGGCATAAAAGCTTTTAACTTCGCTGCTCATCTCGTTGCTTGTGCCCCTATCTTTTTGCATATATCTTCATATCTTGTTCTCTTGCACTGGCTACCTATAAAATATAGAATAATTTTTAAAATTTGTTCATAAATGTTTAAGTCTCAATCTAAATTATTTTCTAAATATTGATTTAACCTAAAGGCCCCGGTTTACAATTTTCTTTTTCTTAACTCCTTTACAACTAATTGATTGACGTTGTAAAACCTACATTGTGTTGATTTGTTTCCATTTATTTTAAAATTTTGTTTAATTTAATATTTAAAATGTGTTTACATTGCATTAGTTGCATTTTATAGTAAATATGAATATGAATGATTAGTCAATTTTGTTATATTTCTTAATTCAGTTCTACAAAAAAGCCTTAGAACTAGATGCTCGGAATGATCAATGTTGCAACAGTCTTTCTCAATTATACCTCAAACAAAACAATTACTCAGGTTTTATTATAGTTCTTCATGCTGCTTGTTTTACTGTTTAAATAAATGTTTGGCCATTTTAATGAATAAATTTAGAAATGCTAAATGTTCTCAAAACTGTTACAGAGGCTTTGAAGTATGCATCTATGTCCATTGATCTTAATCCAGACATTTCCAGTGCTTTTTTAAGGAAAGGGTAAATATATCTTTTTACTATTTAATTGTTTTAAATTTTAATGGTTTGTTTTTCCATTCATTGTACAGTATTGCGTTATTCAATTTAGAGAAGTATGAGTTGGCGAGGCAGGCCTTCAAGGATGGTTTAACTAAAAGAGGTTTGTTTTCAACTGTTTTTTATTCAAATTCTAATAAATAAATGAATAAATAATTTTTTTTAAATCTGTTTATTCGATTTAGAGAATGATGCAAAATTAATGGAATGGCTGGAAAAATGTGAAAAGAAGTTACCTGTGTTGAAATCATCTTCACAAACATCAACTTCTGATTCAACTAAGCAATCTGCAAATATTCTATTTTCCAACAATTCTTTAAAGACAAAGTTATTTTGGACTTATTATTCATGCAAAATATCTTAAATACTGTTTATTTTTGTTAATAATTCACAAGTGTTTGAACAGAAGTAATTCACATTTTATTTAATTATATAATTTAATTTGTTTTAGATATGATTGGTACCAAACTGAAACACACATTGTCCTAACAATCCTTTTAAAAAATGTTCGCTCAGATGAACTCAAGTATAACATAACAGAGAATACTGTAAGCATTTTTTATTGTTTATGAAAGTAAAAAAATTGTAATTAATCAAAATATAATGTTAAATGGTGCAATGCTTCCTTATTTCTTCAGTTGAGTTGCACCATTACTCAGCCATCTCGACCAGAGTACAGCTTAGAACTCGACCTTGCTCACTCAGTTTGTCCTGATAAGATTCAAGTCAAGATCCTCTCCACTAAGGTCTGCATGATTTATTTTAACGTTTTTACAGTGAGTTGTTAGGTTTAATAGTTTGAAAAAGGAGTTTGATGTGTCTAATGATATTGAATTTGAGAGGGGATTATATAGTTTTACAAGCTTGTTCTCATGTAGATGCCATCCAATGTTGAAATCTATTCCTATCTAAGCCTTCATTTAGGCTTTTCATCTGATGAAATTCTGTTTTAAACTCATCTGATCAAGTTTTGTTTTAAACTTAATGACACAATCTGGATGGTGGTTGGTCATTTCTTAGAAGAATTTGTTTCTCTTCAACATTAAACTACTCTAAAAATATGCAAATATTGTCAATTTCAAATTTTGCCATGTTCATTTTTTTTACATTCAGTTTTATATATGGTGTGTTATATTTAGCATTGACCTAAATGTATCATAAACAAGAAATGTCAAAATATTTTTAATATTTGTAATTGTGTTGTTAGTTCTCCATAACATGTTACAATAAAAGTGTCAGGTTGGGAAATAAAAATAAGATCAAATATTTTTTTGTATTGAAAAAATTTGTCCAGGGCATAGGTGTAAATGAGTCCAGTTATATAAATATAAATGTGTTTTTTAATTAATTTTTTTGTATTTAAACGGATCATTTTTTAATATTGTAAGTTAATTCTAAAAAATTTGAAATATCTTTTAATGATCTTCAAAATGTTGAATGCTTCAAAGAAACTCAAGAAAAGGATGTTTGTTTAATGACAATACTGATTGTGCAGGTGGAAATTAAGTTAATGAAGCAAGAAGGAATAATGTGGAGCAAACTGGAGCATGATGGGAATCTGGAAAATATTAAATCAATTAAAAATGGTAAATTACTTGCCTCTGCTTTTTTTTAGTAAATATGCTGTCTGATTGATGTCTGATATTTTCACCACCACATTTAATTTATTTGATGTTTTGTCTGCATTTCTTTGATAGATTTGCTTATTATTTTTTAGTTATTTTATTTGGGTTTTCCATCATTTTTTGTTTCTTGACAAAATGTTCACATTTGTTTATGTAAAGCTTCCATAAAAGTGCACGCGCGTTTATATCTACTTGTATAGGCATTGGTATGTGCATGTAGACACATTTCTAAATATATGTAGACGAATTTGTTTGGAGAGACATCAGTCAGAGCAGGTCAATGCACATTAAAAATAACATGAAGCACGAAGTTGCAACCCACTCAAGGCTATGTAACACAATCTTCTAAACCACATAACTGCTAATTAGCATGTCAATTATGGAATTACTTTGTTATATATTTTGTTTTATCATTTACGTATAAATACTTATAAATTTATCATTATAAACTTTTTCAGAAAAATGTACTGCCACATCTACTAATGAAGTCTCTGGAGTAGTGAAAAAATATCCGTCATCAAGTCTGCATACTAAGAATTGGGATCAGCTGGTTAATGATATAAAAGCAGAAGAAAAAGATGAAAAATTGGATGGTGATGCTGCCCTGAATCAATTATTCCAGCAAATATATGCTGATGGATCAGATGATGTTAAAAAAGCAATGATGAAAAGTTTTGTTAGTTTTTTTCTGTCTTCTAGTTTTTGCACTACCATGACCTTTGTGTAGGGTTTAATGTTTGATGTAGCAAACAGTTGACTAACACAAGGTGTTGTAAAGAATCATTGTAACTGTGGTTATGTTCTAATGCAGACTACTTTCAGGCAATTCCAATCTTTTATTAGGTTTACCAAACTTGTTACAAAGCCAATAATATTAAAACCAAAACATTCTACTGTCTAACCTTGTAAACAGATCTTTCCTTTAAATTTTTAATGTGTTTTTTAAGCTCTATGCATCCAATATATTTCGTATCTCTCCCCTTCCTTATATATCAAATCTCCTCTTAGACTAAAATAACATGTTATTTTCTGAAAAATGTTTAGGAGTGAATTTGAATTTCAATAAATATACCTGTTTGTTTTTATTTATGTTTATTCACGTATTTGTAAATTTTTAATTATCATTTAAACTTATGGCAATTTATCAATTTGAAATTACATGTTTAAAGGTTTAATTGGAACATCTTTTAATTTATAGCTACTTTATAATGTAACATAAAAACAATTTGTTTTTCTCAATAACGATATAAAAAAGGATTCAATACTATTGAATTAAATGTATGTGAATTGAACTATAATGCTTAGCTAGAAAATGTTTGCATCATATTCTATTTTTAGTTTTTGAGGTTCACTTAATTATAATTATTATTCATTTGCTGTAATATTTGTTGAAAAAAATTTGATTGGACAATTCTAGTATAGTTGTACATTAAAATTTATATGTGTAATTCAACTTAAATAATTAATTAGTTTTAATTTTTTTAATTTTCAGAGTGAATCTGGTGGAACCGTTTTATCCACAAACTGGAACGAAATCGGAGCCAAAAAAGTAGATGTTAAACCACCTGATGGAATGGAATTTAAAAAATGGTGAAATAATTTTTCCTTAAAATGATTTACAGTGTCAAATTCTGACAACGAACGTTTCTCACATCAACGTTTCTAATGATGCTGTAAAATTTATTTGTTTGAGTTTTTCCAGTCTGTATTATCCCACGTCAGTTTGTTTTTTTGAATTTTTCATTCAATAAATAGTAGCTTTAAACCGTTTTTCATTAAAATTGTCATAAATTGCGAAAATTGAGTGTGATGATAGGACAATTTATGAAAATTTTAGAAGCGCTGTTTAAAGGTTGATATTTGTGATAAGAAGATAATGAAATGGTGAATATATTTTAAATTCCGCAAAACTGTTTTCTGTACTCAATGTCAATCAGTTTGCGATTCTCGAGATTCTTGCACGAGATTAGGGGAGATGGGGGCTCATTGATCTCTGGGGCACATTGATCTTTAAGCAATAACATAGCTATTTCTAAATATAAATGTAGGCCATCACTATTTTAGTTTTCCTTTTGTTTCTATTCTACTTTTAATCCTATTTGTTTATGGACTTTCTGCCGCTGAAGTTCGAAAAATTAGTAAGTTTGATTTTACAGGGAAAAACCAACTATTCACAACAGGTTAGTTTTGTAAATTAAAAATCAGATAAATATTTGTTTGATAAATTAAATTTTGCAATGTGTAAAGATATGTCAGAGGCTTATTTTATTATTTAGTTCGATTTTCAATCACAACTTATTGAATGATTCTGAACTTAGCCACCAGCCACAATGACCGACCTATATATTATGTGCGCGGAGAGATCGTGAAAAAAGAGGACCATCTGCTGAATGCACAGCAGATGTTCATATATGTTACCAATAATTGTATAGCTATATAAATCCTTAACTGATCATTGAAATGTATGAAAAGTATGTATTCTATATATTTAATTAACGCATGTATGAACAATGATTGTATGAGGTATTGAACAACATAAAAAAAATTGACAGTAAGTTGAACATAAAAATCGATTAAAAATATTATTAATTGCGGCCTCAAAAAAAGATTTCTACCACTTATGTAGAATTAAATTACCTTTCTAACAATATATCAGCCACTGAAAAAAACAGCCTTCCAGGGTGTTCAAAACTCGAAAAACTAAAACATTTACATTGTGCATCAAATCACAAAAATATTTTTTTTCACCATTCATAATTGCGGCCTCAAAAAAAGATTTCTACCACTTACGTAGAATTAAATTACCTTTCTAACAATATATTAGCCACTGAAAAAAACAGCCTTCCAGGGTGTTCAAAACACGAAAAACAAACACACTTCATTGTGCATCGAATCACAAAAATATTTTTTTTCACCATTCATAATTGCGGCCTCAAAAAAAGATTTCTAATACTTATGTAGAATTAAATTACCTTTCTAACAATATATCAGCCACTGAAAAAAACAGCCTTCCAGGGTGTTCAAAACACGAAAAACAAACACACTTCATTGTGCATCGAATCACAAAAATATTTTTTTTCACCATTCATAATTGCGGCCTCAAAAAAAGATTTCTACTACTTATGTAGAATTAAATTACCTTTCTAACAATATATCAGCCACTGAAAAAAACAGCCTTCCAGGGTGTTCAAAACACGAAAAACAAACACACTTCATTGTGTATCGAATCACAAAAATATTTTTTTTCACCATTCATAATTGCGGCCTCAAAAAAAGATTTCTACTACTTATGTAGAATTAAATTACCTTTCTAACAATATATCAGCCACTAAAAAAAACAGC